ACTGTTGTTCTTCCGTATTTCTTCTCTCATCTCTATTTCTTTCATCCTCATTTTCTTCTATTTGTGTATGATTTACCTCTCTTCTATTTTCTTTTGGTCTGTCATATCCGTTTCGGTTTCCACGATATTCCTGTTCATTTCGTCTATTGTAATTTCTGTTTTCTGGATATGTGCGGGTGTTATTTCTGTTTTGATTTTCTCGATATCTGTCTTCATTCCATGGCCGATTTCTGAAATCATCATTTCCTCTTCTATTTTCCCGATTCTCGTTTTCCCTCCTGGGAATAAATTCTCGTCTAGTGTAATCCCTCCTAAAATTTTGTCCTCTCTCTCTGTATTCCTGAGTTTCTCGATGTCTATAATTCTCTTGTGACCTTCTTGCTCTTCTTTCCTGTATCCGTGATGCCCTTATTTGTAGGAATTGGCATAAACTATCGATATCTTTGTAGTTTTGTAAATTTATGTGGTCTTCCATTGTGTCTTCAAAGTGTCTTGCAATCAACTCGACTAATTGCTCAGATGAATAATTGTATTGCAGATGTTTTGCGTTATTGTACATTTGCAATGCGTATGTTTTTTCTGATATACCCATCTTCTCATGGTATTTCCCATTTTGCAATTCCTTATTTATCTGTAATTGCTCTGTCTTTCCCCAGAAAAAACTCAGAAATTTGTTTTCAAATTCTTGCCAATTTTCAAATTCCTCCACTTTGCTGTCAAACCATAGACTTGCCTCATCTTTGAGATGATTTCTGATAACTTCCTTAGCTGTCTCAAAATTTCCCATGTATTGTATCTTCTTCTTTAGATTATTCATGAACGGTACGGGGTGTAGTTTTCTTACATCCCGCCAAACTGTATTTTTATTTCGCCGGAATTCTGGATAACTATTTCTCTTGTTTCTCCGACTCTATTTTGGTGTCTTATTTCCTTAATTAAATTTTCATTCCGTTTCAATCTTATTTCTATTTCTTCCTTATCTTCTTGCAGAGCGTTTTCAAACTTTGTTTCTAACTCTTCTAATTCCTTTTCCATTTTGTTTTTCATTTTTTTAATTTCCACCTCTTGTTCTGCCATTTCTTTTTTAACATTCTCTAAGCAACTTTTAACTTCTTTTATCACTTGTTGTGTTTCCTGTCGGTTTTTTTCTATTGCTTGTTTCGTTTCACGTTGATTTTCTTCCATTCTCTTGTGAGTTTCTCTTTGATTCTGTTCCATTGTTTTATCCACTTTATCCATTTTTTGCATCATTATTTGTAACATTTTCTCTATTCCTGACAATTCCTGTTGTTCTGATGCCATGATTGTTGTTTCAAAAATGTCTTCTTGTTCTATATGTTCTTCTTGTTTTTTGTTTTCTTTGCTTTTGCTTCTCGTGATCGACATGTAGTTCAAATTTATCCCCGCCTGATATGAAACTCTTAAATTTGTGCAATAATATCCCCGCCAAATATGAAATTCGAGTAATGTTGCAAAGACGAAAAAATTTTTCTCTTATCCCAAATGCAATAAATTTAAATAAATGCAATAAAATTTAAAACTTTTGTCAATTGTAAAAATCAATCAAATATAATAAAATATATCATGCAAAACTTGTACCTAGAGAAATTTGAAATGTTATGTCATAAAATGCAGTTATTATAAACTTTGACCATCGGAAATAAATTCTCAATCAACCTGCTTTCTTTCCCTATCCTTTTAAATTCCAACTAGAAATACTTTCTAAGCTTCACACGTTTGGGCGACAGTTGTTATGATTTTGTATTTTTGATTTTAATTTATTTACTTGAAACAATCACAAAAATATACTTTCTCGTTATCAATGTCCTAAAAAATAAACTTCTGATATTTCTTATGTTCAGTGAGTTCAAAGTTTTCTAGTTGTATTTATCGGGATAGGAAAAACAAAGGATAATAATAAAAAGTATAATACATAAAATACAGATATTTTTTATTTTATAAAAAAAAAACAATTATTAAATTTGCCGTTATCTTTTCAATCAGCGAATATGCATGTAATGAAATTAATACAAAAAGAAAATTTTAATTCTTATTTTCTTCTTGAGACAAAACAATTTGAAACTAATTTAAATTTGGATACCTTTATAAACTTTTATCTTCGTTATATTTAAAAAAACTATTTTATTATGGAAACAAAACTTTAAAACATTTGATAAATGTAAAAAGGTCTAATCATGCTTTAAACTGGTAACAACAATGAGGTAAACAAATCGCATTTAAGATTTACACACCTTTCAACTTGAAAAAGGAAAATATCTGACCTTTCTTCCCTGGATTGTCTTAGGACCACACAAAGAATTGTCCACCTTCCACAGCAATGTGTTCTTCCACCTTGCGCCTCGGCTTCTTGTTTCAGTATCTGCTCCTTCAGCCAATTTAACTGACTTAATTTAACCTCCTGACTCAATTCTCCAACACTTAACACACGAAAATCACTTCTTCAAACATTCATATAACTTCTTCGTGACCCAAGGATCTCTTTTCTCACCTGGTGCCACAACTATTTAACACGTATTCCAGAAACTGCACACTTTAGATTCAAGGATTTCTTTACATCGACTTGCAATCTACTTCTTCCACAATTCTGCTAACAAGACTGGTAACTTTATCCACTTAACAATGCCGGCCTCCAACTCACGAACACACCGCCTGTCGAGACGCAACCTTTCTTTTCGATCACTCAAACATCACTGTCTTCTCGAACCAACAAAAACTCTCTCAACCCTCGGTCTGTCGATTTCCCCTTCCAAAAAGATCGTCTCATCACAAAATCCAAATTTGTTTACCACACTTGTTGGAATGCTAATTACCGTTTTCAAGCAAGGAACTTTAATCTTTTAACAATGGTCATTTCCTTGTAAACAAATAATTTTTATACATTTCAAAGATTTTTGCCTTAGTCATAATAGAAGATTTATACAACACAATACCGGACTAATCCTTCAGGTAACAGCTTATTTTCTATAATGTACAAATGGTTTGTCAATAACTCGTTTAGAATGGCTTAGTTCTTTATAAGTCATAAAATTTCGGTACTAATCTATCTATTTACAAATATACAAACTTTCTATCTTAAAATTAATACATATTTTGTCTTCAGATTTCTTAAAAACTTACTTCCGATGGATTCCTTAATTATTTTTGTTCCTTCCGCGTTTGTGGAAGAAGAAGTATAATAATATATATATATATATATATATATATATATATATATATATATATATATATATATATATATATATGGAGAAATAATAAATGTAGATTTATGGGCATCGAAGTGGGACAAGAAACTCTGTATACATTGTTGTTTGCAGATGATCAGGTGGTGGTTGCAACCGATGAGGAAGATATAAATTATATAAATCGAAAATTATTTGAGGAATATGCCAAATGGAGGCTTACTGTAAACATAAGCAAAACAGAATATTTAAAAATTGGAAGAAATACCACAGATCTGAGGCTTGAAAACGCAGTCATAAAAGGTTGCAACCAATATAAATATCTAGGAAGCATCATATCAGCAGATGGCAGAGTTAAGATAAATGTACAAAACCGAATAACCCAAGGAAAAAAATGCATCCGAATACTGAATTCATTACTGTGGTCTAATAAAATAAAGATGCATACCAAACTTCGTGTATACAGAGCAATTGTAGAAACGATTACCACATATGGTGCCGAATGTTGGACGATAACAAAGAATGAACGAGATAAAGTAGACGTTGTGGAAATGGATTATCTTAGAAGGTCATGTCGAGTATCGAGAATGGAAAGAATCAGGAATGAGGAAGTACGAAACCGTACAGGAATTAGAGATACTCTTTCAGATAGAATACAAGGAAGGCAATTACAATGGTATGGTCACGTGATGAGAATGGAGAAGGAGCGGTGGTCAAAGAAAGCCTTAATGTATGTTCCGCCACAAAGAAGGAAAAGGGGAAGACCATTAAATTCCTGGAGAAGAGAAATTACAAAAACAATGCAATCTAGAGGCTTAGAAGAGGGAGATTGGAGAGATATGAAAATATGGAGGCTGAAATGCGGGAAGCGGAAACCGCCGTAGGACCCCCGTTTTATGATGATGATATATTTTTGATTTCGCGATAACCTACAACATAATAAAAAACTACAATAAACACAATTTATTTTCCAGATAAATTCTTATTCGATACTTTATTTGGCAAATAAATGTTAAACATTATAAAAATAATGTATAATATTAATAACAATTAAGATAATTTATAAAATAATATGTGTCTTGTAAAAATAAAATAGACCATTCTCTCTTATGGCATATTTCAGCCTCTTGGCTTCTTCTGAGCGAATTCATGGCAAGCTCTAACGAAATAAAACTTACTTCAACTAGAAAAGAAAATATTTGAAAAATATTTACAAATAGACGCTGTAGCAACCTCTACTAATGACCATGCATTTGTCCTCTGCTTGCTTTGCAACGTTTAGAAAGCACAGATTTAGGCCGAATCCTAAATTCGATTTCCGATTTATATTCTCAATATGTCATCATCAGTTGGCGCTACAGCCCTTCGTGAGCATTGGCCTGCTTCAAAACATTCTTCCATCCTTCCTTCTCTCAATATGTATTGTCTTTGTAAAATAATATGATTTAGAGTATGTATCACTCTTACATACTCCATAAATACATCGTTTTATTGTTCCTTTTCGTACAGGTAACAATAATGATCGTTTTAAAAAACTTAGGCACTTTTTCTTTATTTTCGATTTTTTTTTTCAATAATTATATTTTCCTTGCTTTTAGTTTGGTTTTTAACCTAACCTAACACCTTTGTTTACAAAAAATTTGTTAAAAAAAATGGTTGACATTATTTTTGTAATAAAAGTGATACGATCGCAGCTATTTAAAATGTCATTGAACTTAAGATGTTTATCTTATTGGCTGTTGCAAGTTGTAATTAATCTTTGCTGGGATTGGTCGTATAAACAATTAATGTTTATTTTATTTAAAAGTCAACAAAATTACCGGTCTTATATCGTTGAGTTTTTCCTTTTAAGTAGCATTATTTTAACAAAATTTGTTTTATAGTTTTCGGCACTTATACAAGAATTTAAATTAACTATAGTGTTTATAGGTCTAGATTAATCAAGGTCAAAAACAGTTAGACAACAGCCCTATGCCATTTTGACAATTTGTAAAATCGAAAGAGCAAATATTTTGGTAAAAAAGTATTTAATTTATAAAGTAACTAATAATCAAACAGTTTTTATAAAATGACTTCAACGAGTTTTAACATTGGATTAACTGGTACAAAAAATTCGAGTAGAGTCCTTAAACCACCAGGAGGTGGACATACTGATATTTTTGGCGTTAACGGTGATTCTGAAAATACGAAACCGAGCAAGAAAAAAATTATATCTCCAACATCAATTACGAGCTGTTTGTACCACGAGAAAAAAGAAAAGCCTAAAGAAAATGATCAACTGGAAAATATCGTTGACAAAGAATTAAATTTTGAAAAGAAATGCAATGACAATAGTTTCGATGATGTCAAAGAGACTAAAAATGATGAAAAGAAAAATATACCAGAACCTCCAAGAAGAGTAAGAGTTCCTCCAGGTGGTTTTTCATCGGGTTTGTGGTAAATTTTCCCTGTGTGCAATGTCACTTAACGTAATATTATATTTTAAAAGTTGTAACTGGTAAGCTAGTTCTTCTATCACCACTTGAATACGTTAAAAATATACTTAAGTTAACTTTTGTTTGGAAAAAATGTTAAAATTTGTGTGAATAATTACTTGTTTGGAACAAAAAATAGTCTCTTTTATTAAAAACTGCGTAATAGCTTATTGTATTACTTAATTAGTTATGTTTATAGCTGCAATATTTATAGTTATAGCACTTTTACTAAGTCCCTTTGAAGCAATTGAGCAGCTGTTTAATCTTTTCTCGATATCTAATTTTCGAAAAAAAAATAATCTTGTTCTGATAATGTTTTCTGGTTATAACTATACCATAATTTTAATGTAAAATGTTAATTTAACATTTTAGAATACAATTTTTAATTAAAGAAACAGTTTTTTCTCATTTGAAAGCCGAAATTTCAAATGGAGTGTTTATTTTTATAATTGTGAATAATTTTCCGCAAAAATTGAAAAAAAGAAAATTCGTAAATGGAAAATTTAATATATTTACGAGCCCTAATAACCTAATAACACTAATAGATGTGCGCACTCTATCTTCCGCCAATGTATGATCCGACCATGGCCTGGTACTAGGAAAAATAAATATAGCAATAAATAAATATAGGAAAAATAAATATAGCAATCACCACACAAGGCAAGCGAAATACAAACGTAGAAGATAAGTTAAACATAGAAAGCTTAGAAGAAGAAGGGACACAAAACTTGTATAGAAACGGACTATATACTCCATTCCACGAATATACGACTGTTTTAAATTCGCTTTAAGGTGTCGACTTAAGTGGTCCAATGTGCTGAATTGTACAATGGTAAATTCTCCCCATTTTTAAAATACTGTTATGGAAGATATACACCTTAGATTTAAATATGAAGTTATGATCTAAATATAGAATTGATAGTTTATAGAATAGTTGTAATTCAGATTTTGACCTATACTCGTATAATTACTCTCATTGACTTTAGTATTGTAAACAAGTTGGTTTTTGAATTAAGTGATTTAAACGAAGTGTAACAATACTTAAGTGATTAAATAGTTTAATTTATTTAGTCGAATATTCAATTAGTATTAAAAAATCAAAAAAACTTACTCTTACTCTTATTCTCCTAATCACCATTACAAACAAATACACTACACTAAACTCTCTCTTAACGGACAACTCTCTTCACCGAACACCTCTATACGGACTGTTTTTAAAACTAAAATCAGTCGGCGATTTATGAAACTGTATGTAAATTTTCGTTACTTTTTAATATCTGTAATGACTCGGTACTTTAACTATCAATAACCGCCATGTTATACCCGTTACTTTCGGAACTTTTAAGAGTATATCCACTCAAAGCAAACAAAAAACTAACAAAGTGGAATACTAGATTCTTTTCCTGGTTTCTAAACCATCGTTCCGCCAATTTCATTTTATTTGTATTAAAAATATATTTCTTTTTATTACCGTTGTAACCTAATAAAGTAATAAAGATACCCGGCGTGCCTCTTTGGTGTTTATATTTCACCGAAATCCAACCCAAATGGCTGATGAACACATTTTAACTTCATAGAGGTCATTGTATTTACCTATTTGTAGGAGCGTCTACGTAAATTTTTTGTTATTTTCGGATTAATTTTCACAATAAATTTTGCGTCTATCTGAACATTTACTAACTGAAATAATTTTAGTTTATAATATGTAATAGTAACAGAAGATCCTTTTTTTATGGAATAATAATTAGACCAATTTACTTTCATACTTCTACTTGTACAGTAAAATATTCGTTGTAGCAATAATTCCAAACAGTCGTATATTCGTGGAATAACCTATACAAGTTTTGTGTCCCTAAACAACCAACCCGAAACAGAAAAGCTAAACAGCCATAACCTAGAGACTAAAAAGAATATAGAAGAAACCTGGAAAATTTAAAAAATACAAAATACAAGCAGCGGAAGACGCTTTGGGTAAAAGAAAAGTTAACAGAAATAAGCGGGAATATAAAACTTCATGGTACGACGAAAGGGTAAAAAGACTAGCAAATGAAAAGAAACAAGATTTCCTAACATACAAAAGGAGTGAAGACACCGGAGGAACGAGAAGAGTACGTGAGAATCAGGAATAGAGTAAACCAAGAAATAGATAACGTCAAAAAAGAATACTTGGAGAAATTTACCAAAGATATGAAATACGACCTCTATGGATCCCAGAAAAAGGTGTTTAAGATGATGAGACAAAAAACAGAAATTATTAAATTTGTACGTATATATAACATTACGGAGGAACAATGGACTGAGCATTTCACGAAATTATATGGGGAAGAAGAAGAAGAGAACCAGTCTCCAGTGTAAATATACATTTGAGAACTCCATGGGGCACAAATCTATGATTGATTTTATAGTCACTAATAGAAAAAACCACCCAAACAAATTCTAGATGTTCAAACTTTAAACTCAGCAGACGCAGGTTGTGAACATAAACTAGTACTAGCAAAGATAAGAATGAAAATAACACCAAAACATTTTCTATAGAAAATTACCGATGAAAAATTCAATATAGAATCACTCTAGAACGACTCAGTTCACCATGTCACCAAAATTTACAGTTTTTGTTCTTACTTCTACAAACTAAAATTCAGATATTTAAACAATTAGTACAAATAAAGTATTGAAATAACTTTTACATTGTTTATTAAGACTTTACCAATTGATTTTGCATTAATTGCTTTCTTAAATTTTAGCTAATTAATTTTAATTTGGATCTAACTATTGTCTTGAGTTATAAGACTGAAGTCTAATATAACTTAATTTCACATATTTACAAAATAAATTTAAAAATATAGCATGTATCCTACCAATGAAAATGTCTCCGGTTTCGTTTACTGCTCTTTGCGCTAAGAGGTCGCTGGTGAAATGATATTGGATAAATAATTATAAAGAAAAATGCAATATTTGTTTGTACATAAAGGTAGCGAAAATAGCAACTATCAATTGTAAATAAATTATGAAATTAACTGGTTTTACTCATTTTCGTTGTTTGTACAAAGAATATAGACTTACCCTTTGGTTCAATTGATGTATTCGTAACAGGAATGAAGAGTTGGTCGCGGTACCGACGCTAGCGTCGCCGAGGCTTAAGGCAAGAACCGTCCAAACTAGGTCCGTGTCGATAGCTGTCTGGTCTTAAAGTCAGTGCGTTGTGATGGTAAGAGCTAAGGAACCCTTAGGTTCGAGAGGGTGTACCAATAAATCAGTCTATTATCGGACGATTTTGAATAGTGATAGTTTAAAGTTAATTGCTACAGTAATACGACCTTACACTTGTTTCAATCTTTGTGACACAGAATACAAAGGAAAAAGCCAAATTCTGCGTACTTCAACATGATAAACGAGATCGACAGTTTAAGTTTTACGAAATAACAGAAAATAATATATTTTAAAAATTTTTTTTAGAATGCAGCATTAAATTAGATCACAGTACAGTACCGTAAGAGAAAAATATTAAATGTAAAAATATTAAAAGAATTTGTTCATACTTTCCCAAACAATCATCTTTCAAAGATATAACTCTTATGCATTAAATTTAAAAAAACTTCTTGGTACTGTCTTGTTCGATCATTCATAGAGAGAACACGTATATTTACAGGTGCTTGAATAGTGATTAAGACACAGTTTTTTGTGACTATCAATAATAAACCAATTTCGCTCCGGGCAAATAAACCCAGTTTTTGTGTCTATTTAAGTGTTTGTTATTGTTTTTGTTTGTGTGTATGCAGTGGTAGTTTACAAAAATGGATGAAAACTCCCCCCCTGACAAAGGGGGGACCCAAAATATGGACCAAGTGGAAGAATGCCTACAAACCAAGGAACAGGAAAAAGGAATTAAGCTGTTTAAGTTACAAAAAGGATATCTCTATACGGATAAGGTATATGTATTCATTGAAAAAACAAATGAAGAAAATATTGGCAAACTGCATCCTATGAAGGTAGGTCATATTTTACATAAAAAATTAGCAATCAAGAATATTCTTAGTATTGACAGAGTAGGGAAGAATAGGGTAAGAGTACAAGTTAAAAGCCCCAAAGATGCAAATAATTTAGTACAAAATAAAAATTTAAAAGAGGAACAACTAAAAGCATATATCCCAAATAATTTGCTTCAACGAAAAGGCATAATAAGAAACGTAGATACTACTTTTAATGAACAATATCTTTTTGATAATATAATATCCAATATAACGGTAACGGAAGTCACTCGACTCAAAAGGAAAATTGACTTAAATGGAGAAAAAGTATATGTCCCCAGACAAATGGTATTACTTACTTTTGAAGGAAACATTTTACCCAGATATGTATATATAAACAGTGTTGCCTGTTCTGTAGAACCCTATGTGCATAGAGTTATACAATGCTTCAAATGCTTGCAACATGGACACATATTTCGTAATTGCAACAGTACACAAACCAGATGTATTAACTGCGGACAAGAGAAAAACGATGATCATAACTGTAGAGACCCACAAGACAGTTATTGTATACATTGTAAAAATTATGAACATAAATCCATTTCCAAACAATGTCCAAAATTTAAAGAACAAAACGAAATTAAAAGACATATGGCCGAAAAAAATTTAACATTCTTAGAAGCAAAGGACAGTCTAAAAAACTCTTACACATCTGCTGTTAGTACGAGGAATAGTTTTGAAGTATTAGGTATGCTAAATAACGAAAGCTTTCCACCTCTCCCAAGTCAAACTAACATCAAACATATACCTAAACCATCCTCATCCAATACCCAAAAACAAACACAAAAAGTACCTCCAAATCAACCTGAAACTTCTTCACATTTCAAAAAAAGACAAGCCCAATCTCCCTTACCTGAACCTATGTTTCCTTTTGAATTTGGTCCAAAAAGACCTCTTCCCTCAAATATTTTACACAGTGCCGATCCTGATCCTAATACAGATGAATTTATAAACATATTTTTCAATATTTTTAAAAGTGTACTCGAAGAGTTTGATTCTTTTAGCGATTTAGAAAAGTTAGATAAAGCATACATTTATGATAAAATTAACAATTTCAATAAATCTAAGTGATGGCTAATAAAATAAAAAATAAAATAAAGATTT